TGGTGTAGGCCCTGGGAGGCTCCTGCCAGCCCAAGGTGCAGCTACTGAAGGCCTTCAATAAATAAACACTTTATTCTCTCAGTCTTGTCTGGCCTCTGGTGTAGGTGCTGCTCCAAGGCATGAGGAGAGCAGCCCCTGCAGAGCCCCAGGCTGTCCTGATGGTGTGCTGGTGATTTAGTTTAATCCCAGCCTTTTGTGGATGCACACAGTCAGCTGCTGCAGTGCTGGATCCCTCCTTGGGGCAGCCGGCTTTGCTCTCACTGCCCATGGGGCTGAAGCTGTGGGTCTGTTCCACCTCCAGCTGTTTGACACAGCTGCTTGTGGGGTTGGAGAGGGATCCTGTGCTGAATGTAGGGCCTAGGTACTGTGCATGGTAATTATCCCTTCATGGGGTGTGTGCCAGTGATGCAGTTTGGGCTGGGGGCATTTCACTTTACTCAACTTCAGCTCAATGAGTATAATATTTCACTGGTGGAAGACTTAATCCTTTCAGTTTTTTTCCCCACTGACATTAAGGGTAGACTGGGAAAAAAAATTCCATGTATAACTGAGCTTAATCTTTTGTGCTGCTTTTTTCCCTGAAGGTTTCTGAATATTTTCCTAGTCTGATGTTACTTCCTTTTTGACCTAGGCTTTCCCTGAAGTTTGGTGATATTGGCAACCTAAAGGGACTTGTTATCAGGTAAGTTTATACCATAAAATCCTTACCAGATAAGAACATGGTAACATACATTGTTATGCAGTTGCTCTGGGGAATTAAAGAGACTTTTTTTAAGCAACAGTAATGTGAGAGAAACTCTTATAACTGAAACATCTGCATTCAGCATGTCTGTCTGCCACCTGCCTTGTTTTGTTAAGACATTTTTTTCTTCGACATTGACTTTTCTACTCGTGGAAAAGTTTGGGTCATCTCTTTTGGGTAAAATCTTCCCGTGTCTGAGATTTTAGCTAAACATTGCTAATTCACTACAGACATCAGACTGTGACCTACTTTGTGTTTGCTTTTTGGTGGTAGAGGAGAACAGCATTTCTTGACTTCCCACACAATGGGTGGAGGTACAATTCCAGTGTCACACTCATATATTTCCCAGTAATTAGGCAAAATCCCCTCATAGTCCTCTTGCTTTGTGGGAGAAACCAAACTCCTTCAACTGCCACAGGGAACAGCCTCAAATCCCAGAATCCCAGGGTATTTAGGGTTGGAAGGTTTCTCTGGAGCTCACGCTGTGCCCAGCAGGGTCCCCTGCAGCAGTGCCCCAGGCCGTGCCCAGCTGGGGCTGCCATGGCTCCACACAGGGACACTCCAGGCCCTCCCTGGGCAGCTCTGGGATGGCCTCTGCCCTTCTCTGTGCAAACCCTCCCTTTCCAGACCCCATGGAAAGGGGCAGGGCTCGTTCTGATACCAGCTGGTTGTGAACATTGATCTTACAAGGTTGTCCAAGGCACGAATTCAACAGCGGCGATCCCCTGACTCATTTTCTTGCTCATCTCTCTTCTGACATGACTTTCCCAGGCTCCTGTTAACCACCAGCTCCTACCAGCTGTCTGTGCAGAGCTGGTTCAGCTTGCACAGGCTGCAGCTGCTGTACAACCACTCGGTGCAGGCCACCTTCAACGCCACGGGGATCCGCGCGCCGGCCGCCTACTCCTTCCACTGTGAGCATGTCAGCAGCCTGCACAGATACGATGCTCTGCTCGTCCCCAGCTCTGCAGACGACCTCTCACACCTCTGGGAGGTCACCTTCATCGACTTCCAGGTGATGGCATGGGTTTCAGCCAGATGGATCCCCTGGGTAGATTGAGGGCAGGTTTTGCCCTTCTGTGACGGTCCTTTTTACGCTTGTGCCTTACATGGGGTGTCTTTTTGGGCAACCAAAATCAGAGGCCAGGCCAAGTGAAGGGAATAAAAAGCAGCTGTATTTGCTGAAGGGCCTTCAGGTACATTTAGGGCAGACAAAGCCCCCCAGGGCTGCACCCAAAATGGAGCAGGCCTGACGGGTTTCACACTTCTCTAAGTCTGCTCCATTTGCACACCGGGGGTTGATCTCCCAGTTGCAGCTGCAGGAATTGATGAAGCCATTCAGCCCCAGTTTGCTGCCCCAGCTCCCTTTTGTTTGCATTTCTGGGGCCTGAGGCACTGAGGTGTCCTTGATTGCCAGGCCTGGAGAGGAATTGCTGGGTCTGACCCAAATGGGGAAGCAGCAGCTGACCCTGCACATGGGGTTTGGAGTTCTACCCCAAAGACCTGCAGGGTTACAAATGCATGGGAAATGTAAAAGCTGAAATCCCCTGGCATCACATGCAGCACCAAACAGAAGCTAAGACTTTTCTTGTCCGAGGAAATGAGGTTTTCGGTAGTCTTCCTGCTTGTGTTCCCTCTAGTGGTGAGTGAATTTAGTTTCCTGTCGTTACATCGTTCTGAGCTCAGCTCTCACACTCGGGCACTGATAACAGCACCACACCAGGCATGAGATTCATCTCACTTCACTTTTGATGCCTAAGAATTTTAACCTTGTGCTCTGAGTATAGTCACCCTAGCCTGCCTCTAAAGCCCCTGGATAATTCCCCTGACCCATCTTAAGTCCTTATTCTAGGATGAGATTAATAATCTTCTGAAAGTGCCAATTCTTCTGCGTTTGGCAGTGAGGGAGCCTAAGACAGGCAGGACTAAGCTGTCTTGCATTTGGATACCTGATTCAGAGGGCAATAGGAGCTGAAAGAGGGAATGAAAAAGCTGATCCCCTTTTGTCACTGTGTGAAAAACATCCATGGACTGATTTAGGGGAGCAGTCAGTCAATTCCCAGCGTGCCAGAGCACCAAAATCCGTACTAGACCTGAGGCCACGAATAAAACTTGTTGGTGTTTTCCACAGCTGGGTGCAGCTTCCTGTAGTTTAGCTGGTTTGCATACCACCCATGTGGAACTGGTGAGAAAAGCCTTGTCCTAGGGCAGGCACTTGAGAGTATTTCCTGTTTTGTCACGTTGGAGTTTGTGCAGTCTGAAGCAGGAGATCTGGAGATGCTCCAGGTGATGCTGGAGATGCACAGTTAACATGAAAGGTGCCACACTTGCAATTAAATACTGCTGGGACACCAAGAGGGAGCATGGAAGGTTTTGTTTGAAGCACAGCAGCAAATCCCTGGGGCAGCAGAGTGCAGTTTCAGAAGTCTGAGCTGGATAAACTCTGAGCATTAGCTCCAGCTACCGGTGGGAGGCACAAATTTGCAATGTGCAGGTGTTAATTCAGAAATTCTTAACTGCCATCAGGAGCAATTAACTTTATTTAACGTGATCCCTCTTGTTCTCTATGTAGATTCAGGGTTTTAACGTTCAAGAAGGACATTTTGCCTACGCCAGAGACTGTGCGTCCTTCCTCTCCCCAGCCATCCTGATGGGGTTGGTGATGTCCCTGGTTCTGCTGCTGGTCCTGGCCTATGCTCTGCACATGCTCATCCACCTGAAATCTCTCGACAGGCACTATGAAAGCAAAGCTTCTCCTGCCTATTTTGCACAGATGAAAGACAGTGACATGGGGGATGAGAAAGAGCCACTGAGAAACAGTGGAAATGAGTCCTATGAACTCAGGAGCCAACAGTTTGGTAAAATCTATATTTAGCAGCCTCTATCTGTCTCAGTGAAACAAGAGCTGCTTTCTTCTGCTGGCAGTATGTGGTCTGTGCAGATTTTTTTACCAGCTGGTGAAAGGAAAAGCAGGTAACAGATTGCTTAGCCAGCTATTCACTGGTAATCATCTCAAAGATGCCTTGGGAAAAAAGGTGAGAAAAAAAAATTTCCATTGTGAGTTAGAGGTATTCATGTTGTGGGACTTTATTCCTGTAGCAAAAAGCCAAAATGCATAGCTCTTCATCTAGTTTACCAAGTCTTGAAGAGAGGATCTGTAATGGACACTTTGAAATTAAATAAAGGTTTAAAAAACAAAACAAAACTAAACTAAACTCCTTGCTTATTCTTTCAGAAGGCAAGATTTTCCCTCATTTTATTCACTTCCTCTGTGTCCTGATAGAGCAGCATCAGTTTCTTTCTCAGCATGTGTTTCCCTTTAATTTCCCACGTCACATGCCCTTCTTTTTGTCCCCATAAACTTCTTTTCCTGCTCTGGAGTCTTCAGGGCCACGTGAGGTGTGTTTTTATCCAGGGCACAGATGAAACAGTGGCTGCAGGACAGCAGCACCCTGGTGCTTGCCTGTGTCTAAGCTGGAGGTTTATCCTGAGGATCTGATGGGAAAACACCAGACATCTGCTCACAAAGGCTTACCCTCAGCTCCCCGCCTCAGCTCCGTGCCAGGAGATGGATTATGGGCATTATGTCCTGTAATTCCAGGTTAATTTCTTTTCTACCAAATCCCATCAGTCTCCCTCTGGACTTGCACCTGAATGGAAATTGCCAGGTGGAAAATATACATACACAGAGAGGTGGAAGCTGCCAGCAGTGAAAAGGATATTGTGATACGATTTTCAGCGCTGCTTCTGAGAGTTTAGGACACTGCCATCCCACTCAGCCCATGTAGTAGCTAAGTTTAGGAATTAGCCATAATTTGATCCCGATTTCTTGCAAGTAGGAGCACAGCCGTGTTCTTAGCACTGTAGTGCTTTTGTGTTACAAATAATGGAAACCCCAGCATGATAGAAAAATCAATCAAAACTGGATTTGCAAGCAAATGCCTTTTTAATTTCAGATTACAGAATTAATTAGGGTTTTTTTTAGCCTTTGCAAATGGTACTGCAGTGGTGTTTAAACATCTTGAGAGATGTCCACATATATCCTGTTTGTACAGGTGACACACAGACTAGATGTGGAGGCCTAAGAGATCTAGGAAGGCACTTCAGAGGGAAAAATATATATATATATATTTTTGACACATGAAATAGACAAGCTTTTGAGGACTTGCCAAGGCTGCTTGTGGCCAGTTGCTGCCAAACTTTTATCTGCTCCATGAAGGAGCAGGCAAAAGCGTGAATTCCTGGGAACCTGAGCGGGGCTGGCATGGGAAGGTGAGAATTAAACACTGCCCAGGCTTGTCCTGTCCTGCTCACAGGTGCTGGGCAGAGCTCAGGGTGCCAGTGCTAGACAGGAGATGTTCCTGGTGGTCTGGAGAGCCAGGCTGTCCTGCGTGGGGCTGAGGAAATAAAACCCTGGTGCTGCTCAGTGGCAGCCTGGCTGTCAAATTTACCCTGAGTCCCTGACTGAAATCCTCACCCGGCTGGGCTGAGCTTCCCAAACCCCTGGTTCTGGAGGCACGGGGAGCCTCTTCCTCCCACAGAGGTAATTTCTCCTCCTGGCTGGTGTGTGATGGTGCTGCCAGGATAATTCTGACCTGATAATTTGTCCTCTTGCATGGTTTAAATGGGAAAATCAACACCTGTTGCTGTGAGAGGTTCTACAGGACTGAGATTGGGAATAAGGGGATTTCCCTCCCATCCTGTCCCTCACTCCTCACGCCCTTTTCCAATCCAGCTCTGTTCCCTTTGCTTTTCCTTGGTTTTACAGGGTGAATATCTCCTGGTTTAGTGCTCCAGATGCTCAGCACTGCTAATCTCCAGCACGTGCCAATATTTACCATGTTTTGGTGCAGATCCTCAAGACTTTGTGTGTGTGTGTGTGTGTCATTCCCAGCCCTCCTGAACAAGAGACAACAATTAGTACCTGATACTTTACAAGGAAAACTTCAGAATTAAAACAGAATGCACATAAAAATGAAAACAAAACAAAACAAAAACCCTAAGAGAAAAAAAAAATAAAATTCCTTCAGTTTATGAGCTTTTTCTAAACCATGGCATGACTGGGATATACACTAATTGCGTTAGACAGGAAATACATTGTTCGTCACAGCCATATATTTGTAAGGAGTTAATGATGTTTTGGTGGAAAATGCACCAGAAATAAAATAAAATAAAAAATAAAAATAAAAATAATCCCAATTGCAGTTTCTTTCTCCTGGTGCCAGGTATAAAAGCAAGCACCCATGGCTGAAAAACACAAAAATGTGTATTCTTACATTCCCAGTAAGATGTGAGCCAAACAATCCTTATCAAAATGCACATTTTGGAACAACAGAGACATTCTACTGCCTTGGTTCTGAAATAGGAAAATTCAAGTTAAAATGACTTTTGTGCTACAAAAATAAGATGCAGTGGCATTAACAGACTAATTTATAAAATTCAAGCTTTTTTTCCCACGTGCATAATTCCATTTCTGCATGAGAACACCTCAGGCTTTCCAACGTTTGTGTGTTCACTGAAACAAAAACCTTGCAGTATCTTCTCAAAACCCATTCAGTGCTTCAAATTCAGGGTCCCCATCCACTCCCACTCAGAGCTAAAAGGGAGAGTCTCACTTCCTGTAACAGGATAAATTTCACAGACTGTGACAACGTTGAATGGAACAAATTAATCCATTTGTTCCTCACACATTTCATCTGCAGTAGCTAAAACGTTGTACCATTTCCCCTCACCCCAATATCTGGCAATTTTACATCAGCAGGAAGCTAGATTTTTCAGGCAGCACATTAAGTGCTGTTGTTTGAACTGAAGTGGTGGGGTTTTGGCTTAGTATTAATTAAAATTGCACAAGGAATAATCACAGCCAATGTCTCTGTAAAGGCAGGGAGACAAGGCACTAGCTGGTAAGTTTCACTGAGTTCCAGGGAGCCAGAAGAAATACATTTATTTCTTTCCTTCAAGGTTTTTTTCACTCCTATCCTTAAAACACTAATTCTTGCCACAGCAGCTCTGGTATTTCTGTTGTTTTTCTTTTAAATCAAGGATTTCCAAAAAGCTGGGTGCAACCTCTGATTTCAGAAACTTTCCCCAGGAGATCAGGAGGTATTTTCAGTTAATTATTTATAAGATCTTCAATTTACCATGATTGAACACCTCCTGAGGTGTTCTCCATCTCCAGTAAGCCTTTAAGCATTTAACTGGTGTGTGATAGGCCTGAAATCTGGTTTAATTCCTAGATCACCCCTTAATTTGTTCGCTGCAACATTACAGTAAATCAATACAAAATTTAATGTTATGGGGCAGAACCTGTATGAAATCAGAAGAAAGTGCTTAATCATGTATATATACATATTTATGCACTTTTTTTCCTTCAAGCTGATAACTTGTCATAAATCAGAAATCAAAGCCCTCCTCTCCCCAGACCAAAACCACACACATAAAGAAAACAAATCTGAGTTTTTCAGCTCTGGACATGATTTCCCATTGTTTCCTTCAAGCTAAAGCTGGTCTTTCCAGTGAAAAGGAATTTGCTGCATTTTGTTGAATCAACAATGAGCAGGTTTTTCACTGCCAGCTGCAGTTCCCTGTCACAAAATATCAATCAAGGCTCTTCAAGAGACTGAAAAGCTCTGTTCCAGTTACACCCATAACTGCACAGATGTGAAGGCTGAGAGAAAGGGGCAGTTTTAACTTCACTTATTGAAAAACCCCATCGTTCAACCACTCCTCAAACATGGCCTGTGAAATAGAGTGTGGGACCCTGGAAAATCCTGCCCCTAATCAGCAAAATGAATTTGGTGGAATTTAAAGTTAAACCTCTTCCCAAATCAGCAGATCCTCACTGCTAATGTCCCTCCTTTTCAGATTTGTTTCAATTGACTTGAGGTGACTTGGATCCTCATACAACTCAAGAAATAATCTTAAAATCCTTTTTATATCAGGGCTGTTGCCTGTGGTGCCACCTGGGAATTTTTAAGGGTTGAAATGGTTTGCATAAACACATTTACAGTAAAACTCACGGTCTGCCAAAGTCCCTTGGGGTTGTAGTCCCCAGGATATACCATGCAGACCCTGGAATTTTGCAGAACTCTGCAGGGAATATCCAAAAGGTGCAGAATTACACATATAATCTTGCTGCAACATTGGGAAGATTAATGGGTCACCAACAGAGGGGAAATGATAGCATAAACCCATCCAGAGGCAGGTTCTTCATGTCATTAAAGTGATCAGGAAATCTTCAGTTCTCCTGAAAATCTGCTTAGTGAGTTACATAAATCCCTGGCAGCAAATTGTGTGGAAGTAGCTGGAGTGTCATTCTCCAGTAGTGCCTGAAAATGTTTGGTTGTGTTCCTTTGGCTAACTGCTAGGAAGACTTTTCTAGCCCACATTATAATATTTTCTTTTTGTTGTTCTTTGTTCTACAGAGCTAATTTTTAGGGGAAACTCTCACTTTATATACAAGATGTCTGAGCTTGACACTGGGACATCACTAATTTCTTTTATCCTTCCAAACCCTGAAGTGAGTAAATGGTTGTGATTATTAGAGGTTTGTTGGGTTTTTTTTTGGTGGTCCTTTAAGAGGCCCCAATTATTCTAATAATGTGTGAATTACTCTGAATTAGTAAGATCTCATTGCTGCCAGGACATGCTGGGGAGAACATCTGGGAATTTTGAAGGAAACATGGGTAAAAATTGAAAAAGGTGAATTATGGAGAATGAAACCTTTTTGCATATCAATTAAACTTCTTTAATTTTGGTTAGCTTATTGTTATATAAGATATCTATTTATCTATCTATCTATATATCTATCAATCTATCTATCTATATCTTGCTATATATATATGTGATATATATAAAAATATATATAAAAATATA